CTCATCCCATTGGCTGTCCTTTGACCACATGTAGCCCCCTTCCCCCCCACAATGTTATTTAAGAAGAATAATGTGCTAAAATATGCCACTGTTGATGCTTAGAAATTCTTTAAGCTATTTTTTTTGCTGGTCAAACTTAATAAATTAAAAAGATAAAAATGTTTTGTTATTGTTGAGATTGGCTACTTTTTTATTGGGATGATAAAGTTGTCAGTCAACATTGACTTACTGCTAGTAGCTAATCCATCTTATTATAAATGATAATAACTGTCAGAAATTTAATATCTACTTTGGTGTGTGTATACATTAGAAAATTAAAATAAAGCCAGTACTTCTCACAAAGGGCGATGCTAGGTGTCTCTATGTTCATCAGACCTTAATTTCAATGTTTATATTTGTAATAGGCAATAACCTTATGACACATGCAGTATAATGTCATACAAGCACAGCTCTGACAGATGTGACATGAGGAAAACATCATCAGAAATTTTGCTCATTTTTGCAGTTTTCAGTTGTTGTAGTTTTAATGAGAGTTTTTAAAATGTTTTATATTAAAAGAAATTATACTCTCTTAGAATGCTGATCTAACTTTAATAAATTCGTATAAGACCTTTTTCTTGGTTTTGTTTTTGAGACAAGGTCTCAGAGATCAACAAGGCTCTGCCTCTCAAGTGTTAGTGTTATAGCCAAAAGAACTAACTTTTAAAAGACAGACAGGTTTATTGTCTTATGTTTCTTCCTATTTCTCTCTCTCTCTCTCTCTCTCTCTCTCTCTCTCTCTCTCTCTCTCTCTCTCTGTGTGTGTGTGTGTGTGTGTGTCTGTCTGTCTGTCTCTCTCTCTCATATGTTTGTGGGGGGCATGTTGTGTATGATGTATAGGCACATTTAGTTATGTTTACATTTTTCTGTGCATGCATGGAAACCAGAAGAGGATTCTGTTCTCCCATTGGATAATTTTTCTTTTTCCCTTGAGACAAGGTCTGGCTGTTTCTGCTAGACTGGTTGTCCAGCAAGCCCAGTAAACTTCCTGTCTCCATGCCTACAGTGCTGGGGTTGTAACCACACCCTACCTTTTACATGGGTACCAGGGACCCAGATTCACATCTTCCTGCTTGAGCAGTGGACAAGCTTCGCCCACTGACCCGTCTCCCCATTACCTCCTGTTCCTTCTGTCCAGCTTTTAAACCAAACGGGCTCTCATATTTGGTTAAGCTGGAATTTTCCATGACCACTTCCTAGTCCTGGTTAAATAAGACTATTTCATGATAGGGACCCTTTGCACCAGGTAGTAAATCTGGTTAAGGGTATAGGTGCTATTTTCAAAAACGTTTGGTAACTGATTTTTAAAATCCTACAGGACCCTCTAAGTCAAGATTTAATGTACCAGAGTAAAACCAAACCAGATTCTCTGTGTCCAAAGCATCACAAACATAATCACCACGAAGGACAAGATGTCGTAAGATAACCACTTATGTTTTCTGCACATTTTTCGAGGCTCTGTCTGGGTACCTGAGAATCTAAGTCTTAACCAAGCCAAGGTTCCTTGCAATGTGTGGTTATGTTAAAGCTTTTTCTTTCCCCAACTTCCTGGATACCTAACTATGACTCTAAGGTGATTATAGTACACTTAATGTCCTCTGTATCTCTGGGTAACAATGTGTAGGACTACTTCTGAACTGTAAATGCTATGCAAAAGTTGGCATAGTTAAAACTCTGTGTTAAATATATGCAACATGACCAAATAAGTGTTCTCTTAATAGCATTACATCTGCGCTTTTAAAATTTAAAATTATATATTTAGTAATTTTAAAAGATGTATTTATTTAATTTAATTTGGATGTGTGTACCCGAGTGTATGTGTGTGTACCATATACATGCAAGTGTTCCCAGAGGCCAGAAGAGGGCGTTAGAGCCCCTGGAATTGAGTTACATGGGGTTGTGAGCCACCTGATATGGGTGCTGGGAACTAAACCTGAGTCCTCTGCAGGAGCAGCAAATTCTCTTAACCACTGAGCAATCTCTCTAGCCCTGACTTTTGCTATTTTCAGTCAGTATCATTCAGATTAAAACCTGATATAGGGGCTTCCAGGCTAATTCAAACCCTGATCTGCATCCGTTAGCCTTGACCAAATGAGCCTATGAAATGCCCTTGTACATCAGAAAGCTGGTCTGTGTGTGGTCACTAGCCTGTAGTCTAAGTTTGTAAGAGGTATAAAGTTTTGCTTTTTGTTAGTGCTGAACACCTCTTATATCGTTGTCTTAGTTAGGGTTATCATTACTATTGTGAAACCCATGGCGAAAAGCAAGTTGGGGAGGAAAGGGTTTATTTGGCTTACACTTCAGCATCACAGCCATTACTGAAGGAAGTCAGGACAGAAATCCCCAGGAGAGGGAATCTGGAGGCAGGAGCTGATACAGAGGCCATGGAGTGCTGCTAAGTGGCTTGCTCAGCCTGCTTGCTTTCTTTTTCTAATTGGTGTTTTGCCTGTATATATGTCTGTGTGAGAGTGTTGGATTCTGGTGTTACAGACAGTTGTAAGCTGTCATGTGGGTGCTGGGAATTGAACCCAGGTCCTCTGGAAGAGCAGCCAGTGCTCTTAACTGCTGAGCCATCTCTCCAGCCCACTTTCTTAATATCTTAACTGCTGCTCTTAACTGGTTCTTAATAGAACCTAGCTAGGATCACCAGCCCAGGGGTGGCAGCACCCATAATGGGATGGGCCCTCCCACATCAATCACTAATTAAGAAAATGTCTATTAGGCCTTATCTTATGGAGGCATTTTCTCAACTGAGGCTCCCAACTCTCTGATGACTATACCTTGTGTCAAATTGACTTAAAACTAGCCAGAACAATAACTGAGCCAAGGATTCTGAATTCTGCTTTGAAAGTAGAATAAACATAGACACACAAAAATGGAAAACAAAACTCCAAATGACTTCTATGCACCTCTGCTGCCTCTTTTTTTAAATATGTTTTTTATTGCAATGGAATTACATCATTTTCCCCTCTCTTCCTTCTCTCCAGCCCCTCCTGGCTACTCTCCTTTGAACCCCTCCCATTCCTTCTCCCTCCCATTGCCCCTTCCCATTACCCCTCAAGTTGATAGTCTCCTTTTCTTTGATTATTATTGTTACATGCATACATACATATATGAGCACACACACACACACACACACACACACCCCACATGGTATATTTATGTTCCTTAGTAACATAAGTCTCCCAGAACACAACTCTTAGGAGAGCCTTTGACCAAGATGATGTCCTCCAAACTAGAATTGTGAATGGTGCCATCTTTTACCAGCTGGTTCCTGTGTTACTAATTGTACGGTGACTTTCATCTTTAAGCAAAGGCAACCAGACTGTTGGGCAACTGCTGAGCTTTCTGGGGCATTCTAATCCTGGGGTAATCTAGGTCTGTTGTCCAGCTCAGCTTTGTTCCTTCCCTAGAAAATTTCAACCCAGTGAAAAGGACTGCCATGAGTACTTACGTTTCAAACTAGTTTCTCTTTCCATGTTTACTCTTTGGGGTTAGGTTTTGTGTTCTCCTTGTAGGACATTATTTGCTCTTCTTGTAGGTCATTGTTAGCAACAATGTAAGACATTGTTACTTCGGTCTGCCATCACTGCAGAAGGACTCATAACAAAAGATCCTAAGTAGCACTAGGAGACCGCCAACAGAAGAGGCAAAATTAAACTCAACAATGGATATGCTTGGCCCAAGAGCCAATCTTTACCTATTTCAAGTTACTTAGATTTGCCTACCAGGGGTTTTTATTAGCATCAACTCCTTGACGTCTGTCATTTACTACATGGGTTCAGATCAGACCAACTGGGGCTGAAGGGCAATTAAAACCAAACCACTAGACCATGAAAGAACGATGCCTTCAGAGACAATTTTAAGAGTGAAATCAACTGGACATGATGTCAGCTCTAATGGGGTCAAACAGGAGGATCTTGAGTCTGAGGCTGACCTGAACTTCATACTAAGACACTACATCCAAATGAACAACAAACATAGTCACTTCTGCCCGCCCTTAATTCAAGCTCAGAGGTTACGAAGAATGGTTCTTAGTCACGGACACCTGGCACTGGCATCTTCTCACCTTGGCTCCTACTTGTGCTCTGTTTATATTTGCTTCGGGCACAGGCATAGTTCAGGAATTTACATACTAATTCTACCATATCACTCCATATCCTCAAGATTGACATCTTAAACAAATGAGAGGAATTAATCTAAAGGAGACATTGTGCCCTTCCCTTCCGCTATCAGACTACTGAAACATGGACCCCAAAGAATTAAAAATTTCCCAGGAATTCCATGGGAATTCCCATGGGGAAGGGAAAGGCTAACCCCTAAGCCAGCCAGAGGAGGAACTTGCCTCCTAAGCAGAGATCTCAGTTTTGACAAATTAGTACATGTGTTTCCTGCCTTCTGTCCCATCTTTTCTATAAAACTCTGACTACACAAAGGCAGGATAAAATTGAGCTGCTTTCTCCCTAGTTTGTATAAATTGTGGATACATTCACTTTCTTTTATTAAGATGTTTTTCAATTTCTTGTGGATCTAAGTGCCCACTATAACCAGACTACCCTGAAAAATGAGGTCTCATTTTCTCCAGAAAGCCTTCCCACATACTCTCTCCCCTCCCCTGAGCTAAAGTGAGGGTTGGAAGCAATGAGTTAATGTGATGTGACATGCATATCACATCATATGTGCATATATATATACATATATGTGTGTATATATACATGTATGTATGATATATATTACATATATATGCAGTTATAAAGACCTGGGTTTGAATTTTCCTGCTATTATTTAATATCCACATGTGATAGTGTCAAAATACTGAACTTCATTGGACTTTAATACTTGCCTATAAATTAATGATAATACATTACTTAATAGTATGGTGATGAAGATTAAATATTATAACAGGCTAAACAAACAGGCTGCTGAGTCAGTAATAGTTTTGTTCTTTTGGACTCTCAGGGCTCTGTGTCCGTACTTTCTGTTTTGAATCTCAGATGTTTGTATGTTCACTCAGTCATCGAACAAATATTTGGCAGCTACAAAGGCGGTAAGTGTTATAAAGAAAACTGAAGCAAGATGGGTGGGGGCATGTTTTGCTGTTTTATTTAGGGTAGTTTCGGGGGAAAAAAAAAAGCAAAGTTTGAGTAGGAGAAGTGAGGGAGTGAGCCTTGTGGCTATCAGGGAAGATAGAAGTCCCTGAGGCAGGAGCCTCGCCTGTGTGGGAGCCAGCAGGAAGCCAGTGTGGTCATATCACTGGGAGCAGGAAATGGAGGAAGTCGGATAAGGAAGAGAAATGGCAGGGGACACATCACGTGACCCCAGTAAGGCTGTCTCTACCATCTACCCCAAATGAGGTGGCCCGGAAGAAACTGGACATCTGTCTGCGGGAGTGGCGGTCCCGGCCTTTCTGTCGCCTGAGGGGTTTCTGAGGCGCTGCCCCTCCGCATCCACTGTTTTTCCTCCTACATCACCTTCCCCTTTAAGCTCCGGGCAGTCCTTTCATTCCCCAGCGCGCTCTGACCTTGACTCCTCGGCTTCCCTGTGACTTTGTATCTGAAGACAGAGCCAGGATCCTTACAGGGAGAGGCAGCTAACGCTAACGGCAGGTGCACTAAGGAATCTGCAGGAAGAGCAGTGTGAGTGGGTCAGGGCAGGAAGCGGCATTTGTGGCTTTGTATTTGCCTAGTGGTTTCCCATTTCCTGTGTGCTTCAGTAATTTTTCTTACTTCCGTTTTTAGCTTTAGAGGATTTTAGGTTTCTGTTTTTGTTTTTGTTGTTGTTTTTTTTTTTTTTTCAATTATGCCTGTGTGTATGTAAGTCACCATGTGCATGGAGTATCGTGCAGTACTTGAAAAGGCCAGAAGAGGGCATGGCATTGGAACTGGCATTAGAGACAGTTGTGAGCCAGCCCATGGGTGCAGGGAACCCAACCAGGATCTTTTAAAAGAGGAGCCAGTGCTCTTAGCCCCTGAGCCATCTTTCCAACAACAGGACTAAAATATTTTAACAAGAACAGAAAGCATAGACTCTGGCTTAGCAGAAGAACATATAGAACTATTTGAAGCACACACAAACTGTAAATGTAGACTTGTTCTGGGAACCTGAGCAAAGGCTTCATATCAAAACCATAAATAGTCACCAGGAGGTCGTTTTCACTGGCAATGATTCAGCCTAATTTGTATACTTCTCTCAGCAACCTCCATGACCTCCAAAATGTACAGCACACAGAAGGTTCAATGTCCCCTCCGTCAGTAGCACAGGTGGGAACAACTGGATCCCATCCCATTTAACACAAAATGCAGGCAAGTCATACTATAATAGATGAGTGCTCAAATAAGTGACCGGACTTGTTTTTAAGAGGCGAGAGTGGAAACTGGACATCTGTCTGCGGGAATGGCGGTCCAAGAGAGCAGACTTGGAGACGGTGGGAGAGTTGTTACGACACTCAGAAACACAATTGCCCTCCAGAGACCAGGCACGGGACTTTTGCTCTCAAATGGCATTCCATGGACCTCTACAAATGGTCTAATTTCACCTCTGTTGCTGTGATAAAACACGTCACACAAAAACAACTGAGGGATCTGGAGAGAATGCTCAGTGGTTAAGAGCATTGGCTGCTCTTCCAGAGGACCCAGGTTCAATTCCCAGCACCTACATGGCAGCTCACAACTTCCTGTAATTCCAGTTCCAGGGGACCCAATACCCATGGCAAAACACATAAAATAAAAATAAATTAATTTAAAAACCCTCAAAAGCAACTCAGAGTGGAAAAGGGCTTATTTCTTCTTTTACTTCACAGTTCATCAGTGAGGGAAATCCAGGCACCCTGAAGGAAGATGCTTGTTGGCTCAGTCACGGGCTCACTCTCTGCCTTGGCCTCTTACACACCCATAACCATCTTCTAGGGAATGGTGCCTCCATAGAGGAAGGACACCTTCATCAGCTAATAGTCAAGACAACCCTTCACAAGTACAGTCACACACACACCTGATTGACCTAGCCTTCTCCTCTTGGATGACACAGGCCATGTCAAGTTGACAATTAAGGCTAACCAGGGCAGATGCTTTAAGAATGCAATCTTGCCGGGTGGTGGTGGTGCACGCCTTTAATCCCAGCACTCTTGAGGCAGAGGCAGGCGGATCTCTGTGAGTTCAAGGCCGGGCTGGACCGATAGCCTCCAAAACAATACAAAGAAACCCTATCTCATAAAAAAAAGAAAGAAAGAAAGAAAGAAAAAAAAAAGAAAAAAGAATGCAATCTTAGGGTTCAGTGGTTAAGAGCACTGGCTGCTCTTCCAGAGGACCAGGGTTTAATTGCCAGCACCCACATGGCAGCTCACAACTGTCCAACTCTAGTTCCAGAGGATCTGACACCCTCACTCCAATGCACATGAAATTTAAAACAAGATTATTAAAATTATTTAAAAGATTATTATAAAAATAATGCAAACTTGTATCTCATTGTAATTCTTATCAGATAGACCAAAATGTGATACATCTGAAATGAGTGACCTCTCTCGGTGAAACTGATGTGACTTGGTACCAAGGATAAACTTTTGCTGCACTCATGCCAGGCGTGGCAGGAATGCAATTCTCCTTTTTTGTACCTTGTGAGCTCTTGTCAAAGCAGCTCTGTGAGCATGCAGACACCCACACTGCTGGAGTTTCAAATGAATGAAAAGAGTCCTTGTGTTATGGCTCCCATTGATCCACAGATACACAGAAATAGCAACAAGTTAACCAATAATCCAGAAGGCAGAAGGATGGAGTGACAAGATGTTCCAACAGGAAATAGCTGCAGCATGAGATAGCATTTCCAAGGAAGATCACTCTGAGGTCAGATCCACTTTGATTAAATATTGACGGTTCAGGTCGGTTCTGAGACCTGTTCCCGTGAGTCCAAAGGCAGGCAGGTTGGCTGAAGGCTTTGTGGGAGTGATACCTCATGGAGTAATCACAGAATGCAAACAAGATGCCACCACACTGTGAAGTAAGGGACGCAAGGCCATCTTATTTCTACAGCTGTGAGCTGCATCTTCACCACTGCCTGAATTCTACTTCCATGACTTTCTGTTGAGTGCATTCGATTCTTACAGGGGCTACCTGAATTCACTCCAAACACAGGACCTGGTTCCCCCTCCCTCTGAACCACGTGTCTGCTGGTCCCACCGCATCAATCTGTTGTTGTCTTTCAGGATGAAGTGGTTTTACAATACAACGCTTGAAGCACAACTGGAATATTGCTCATGCTCACAGTGTGAGGAAATAAATGAATACCAACAAAGGAAGGTTCTAGACCTTCTCTGTAGCTCAGGGTGCCCTACAGAGTATGAGCCTCTATAGGATGCCTGTCCCATGCAAATGTGTGTCTGTTCCTAGAAGTTAAATGTCTTCATAGCCACTTCAGACACAGACCAGGTTGTTCCCTTTCCTCGTTTCTGGCAGGAAGGGGCCCGCAGCAGACGCTCATCACTGGGGCCACCCACGGAGCTACCTCTGGGTTGAAAGTGCGCTACACTGTGCATGTGGATGACTTTGGAAGTTCACGATCAGACATCCTTTCTAAATGTCTCTTCTTAGTTGGGATCTGTGTCTTGTTAAATCCACACACCGACCCTTTTGCAACCTTTGTCTTGAAAGCCCATTCTGGCCATAAATACTGGCTTCTGGCTCAATGGCTCCTGGGGCTCATTGGAAAGCTGGCCCTCCCGAGTTACCTTCCTCTTGGCCCAGGCACTAGAATCTTTTAGTTTTTCTTTTACCATTTTCCTTCTTTAATTTCTTTCTTTCCATCCTCCCCTCTCCCCCATGTTGGTAATATCTTCATTTTAACTTTATCTTTTAAAGGCAATTTTTGCTGGGTATAGAATTCTGGGTTTTGCTTTCAGTGTTAAGACATTGGTTGCTGGCTTCTGAGCTCTGTTAGTAAGTCAGCAGTAGTGTAGGCCATTTTTCCCCTCATTTATAATGTGTCTTTTCTCCCAGTGGCTGTCTTGGTTTTCTCTTTGTTTTTTGGAGATTGATTATGATGTGGGATCATATTTGAGTGTTATACTTGGGAAATGATGATAGGAAAGGGTTTTTGTTGGGTCGGGTGACACACGCCTGTATTCCAACTACTGGGGATGCAGAGAGAGAAGGAAATAAAAGTCCTCTCTGCATTTGCAGTCCTGGAGGACACTGGATTTATTTAAATCTACAAACGCATGCTCTTTCACCAAATTAGGGGAAGTTTTGAGAATTATTTCTTCAATGTTTTTTCCCCTTTTCTACTCCTTTCCTGATTGCAATTCTACACATTAAACACTATGGTATTGTTTTTCAGTCCTGCCTCAGGCTTGGCTTTCCCCTCCTGTGTCAACCCCCTCCCCCCACCCCCACTCCCCTGACACACACCTTGTTCTTGAGACTGGAAACATATAACTATAGGTTCATTTACTGTTTTCTCTGTCTCTAACCCAATCCAGATGATGTTACATTTCAAAAACTCTTTCTCAGGCCTGTTATTGCCACTTAGTTTTCTTTTGAACAAAGTTCTCTCTGTTGAAAAGCTATGACCCTCACCTAGTGGAACAAACTTGTAATAGCCACTTTAAGATTATGATGCTCTAGGGCCATGGAGATGGCTGGGTGGACTAAAGTGCTTACCGGGAAAGCCTGATTACATGAGTTCAGTCCCCGGGACCCACGTGAGGTGAGAAGAAAGAATTGGCTCCACAAAGTTATCCTCTGACCTCTACATGTGCGCCATGGCACAGGCATGCCTGTATATGCATATTTTCTCTCCCTCCCTCCCTCCCTCCCTTCCTCTCTCTAAAAAGAAAGCATCAAACATGATCTGTTAATTACAAACAGGATCATCTAAAGGCTGAAATCTGCTGGCTGCCTTTTCTCTTAAGGACAGGTCACATGTTCATGTTTCTCATATGTTGGATTACTTCCTATATTGTGTGCATTTTGATTCTTTGGTTACAGAAATCTCAGACTCTGTTATGCAGCTCCTGCAAAATGCTGCATTTGTTTGCATTTTTGTAGTAAACAGTGAACTCTATCCTGTCAAGTGTAAAATGTATCGTGGGTAATAGCGCAAGTCTCAATTCCATCTGTCTACTGCTTGATGGGTCATATGAGTGCATCTCATGCAGGCATCGGGAATGGCCCAGAATTAGAAAAGTCTATCAGAATTGTGGTCTCTCCTGTGGGTTCTCCCTCTCACTTTCATGGACATAATTGCCTTAAACTCAAACCTTTGATTCTTTGGTCTAGGATTCCTATTATTGTGTTATCTGTTTTTTAAAAATCCTACTAAAAATGGGAAATTCCTCCTAGACATTCTTTCTGCTCAAGTATTGACTCTGTTCTAGAAGCTGCCTGCTTTTATGCACTGATTACTCAGGACCTTGTTTTTCACAGCTTGTCCAGACTTCGACATTGTTATCATGCAGAGGCAAGTATAGTGGTGACCATTGGAACACCCTGGGAGAAGCTGGTATCACTTAGGGCGCTTTAGGGTTGAGATGGGGAGCAGCCATCCAGATACAGATGTTCAGCAGCCAGTTGGAGTGATTCCAGGCAGGAATCACTTAGCCTTTGACATGACACACACAGGAAGCCATGTGAGTACCACTGCTCAGGGTGTGAGTGGAGGGTATGAGGAAAACAAACCCAGAACCAAAAGCAACTACATTGGATGGATGGTAAGGGAGAATTAACAAAGCAGATCTAGAAAGAATGGACAAAGATGGAGGAGAAAAAACACAGGGGTGTTCTCTTGAAGTCCAAGGCAAGAGGGGACTTCAGTTCAAGAGAGTGCTTGACCAATCGAACACTGCTGACAGCTTCCATAGGACAAAGATTAAAACCGACTGCTGGCCTTAGCTTCATGAAGGTGCTGGGTGCAGGAGTGTTTTTGTTTAAGTGGTGGACTCAGAACCTGATGAAGGGAACACCTGAGTCTAGGAGAAAGAATAAACTCCACAGTAAAGTAAGGTTGATGTTGGAGGGTGTATGCAATCCCAAGACACTTTATTTTAATGTTTGGCCTTGAAAAGATGATGCTATGTTGGTGTCCCAAAGAAGGCCATGATGGAGAAGGAATCCTGAGAACATCATATCATCCTATATACAGTTGGGGAGCTGGTGTCTTGGTCATTGTTCTATTGCTGTGAAGAGACACCATAACCTTGGCCACACTTAGAAAGAATTGGAGCTTGCTTACGGTTTCAGAGGTTTAGTCCATTTTCATCATGACAGAGAACATGGGAGCAGGCAGGCAGACACGGTGCTGCAGAAGTAGCTTAAGAGTTCTACATCTGGAACTGCGGGCAGCAGGAAGAGAGAGAGAGCCACTGGGCCTGGCTTGGGATTCTGAAACCTTGAAACCCACCCCCCAGTGACATACTTCCTTTGACAAGGCCACATCTACCAACAAGTCCACACTTCCTAACCCTTCTAAGTAGTGCCATTCATATGAATCTATGTGAGGGGAAGCATTCTTAGTCAACCACCATGGCTGGCCTTTCACAGGTTCATAGAAAGTTCTGGAAACTAAAAGAGGCTCCCCTGTTGTTTTTGGTCAGTTCCTTCAGTATGTAGATCATACAAATTAAATCTGTTCATAGAGCTACATTGTTCAAGCACATGGAGGGGGAGGGGGAGACCATGCTGCCCCCATTACCATTACCCATTGAGGGGATTTCAGAGAAGATACGTTAAGGGCTGTGACAGGAGGACCCAGTGAAAGGAGCCGGCCATGGAGCCAACTCCAAAGACACAGTGGGTGCAGAAGTCTGTTTGCTTCCTCCTAAGGTGGATGAGGAGGGTGGTTCAACCAAGTGTCAAAACAGTGCTGCTGCTGTGGGGTTGCAGATCTAAGAGGGGGGACACTCAGATAGCATTGAGACCGAGTCTGGCACCTTCAGGCACATTTTGTCATGTCTCTTTTCAGGAGAATGGAACCCCTTGCAGGCTGGTTACCATGCTACAGCCAAAACAGCATTTGGTTGTCACCTTGCCCAGGCCTGACCAGGTAAAATTAACTAGAGTTGGGATTTGGGCTGTGGAGCCATTTTCCTTCTTTGTCTCTGATCTTGGCTTTCAAATTATTTTCCCTCCCTCTGTCTCTCCCTCATCCTCCTCTACCTTTCTCCTTCCTTCCTTCCTTCTTTTCTTCCCTCTCCCCTTCCTTTCTTCGTCCTTCCTTCCCTCTCCCCTTCCTTTCTTCTTTCTTTCTTCCTTTCGAGATAGGGTCTCACTCTGTCTCCCAAACAGCCCTGGGGCTCACTCAGTATCCCAGGCTGGACTTAAACTTGCAGTGATCATCCTGCTTCTACCTCTCGAGTGCTATGGTTACTGGTGTCAGTCGACATACCCAGCTCCAATTTTATTTTTACTAGTTTTACAACATAATTTAATGCATACAGAGATAGGAAACAGAATTCTACAGGATCAAAAACGTCAATAACAGGGCTGGGGAGACAGTTCAATAGCTACATTGCCTACCACATAAGCTTTAGGGTCTGTGTTGAGATCCCCAGCACCTACATAAAAGCCAGGTACTGAGCTGACAAAATGGCTCAGTGTGTAAAGACACTTGTTGCCAAGTCTGATGACCTGAGTTTGATCCCTGGGACCCACGTGGTAGAAGGAGAAAATCAGCTTCTACTTCTGACATTCACACATGCGCTGTGGCATGCATGAGCCCTCATGCATGTGCATACACAAACACACAACCACAAATAAACAAATACATAACACTTTTTTAAAATGTCAGGCATGACAACACAAAAAGAATGAAAGTAGAAAACAATAAAGATGCTCAACATCAACCCGCGGGTTCCAAAAATCCCCAAGAAGGCTCATATATTGAATTAATTGCTTTCTTTCCTGTGGCAGAATGCATGATGGAAGCCACTTAACGAAGGGGGGCTTTCTTTTGGCTCCCAGTTGAAGGTACAGTCCATCGTGGTGGGGAAGGCGTGGTAGCGGGAGACCGGGGGAGTGAATGTCTGCAGTCAGCTCTCTCTCTTTTGTCCTTTTCATTCAGTCAGGGACCCCAGACTATTGTGCTGTCCACATTCGGGGTGAGTCTTCCAACCCCAGTTATCATAATGTAGATCACCCCCCACAGACATGCTCAGAGCTTGTCTCCTAGATGATCCTAGATCCTGTCAATCATCATGTGATCTCCTAGATGATCCTAGATCCTGTCAATCATCATGTGTATCATCAATCACCTCTGTGTGTTTCTCCTTAACCTAGATCAGCCTATGGGCACTTGAGGGTACATTTATGTAAATGTACAGTATGGTTGCTGTATTAGCTACCTTTCTATTACCGTGATGAAATATTGGGACCCAGGCAACTTATGAAAGGAAGAATTTAGTTAGGCTTACAGTTCCAGAGAGTCAGAGTCCATGATGGTGGGGCAAAGGTATGGTGGCAGGAAGAGTTCACGTCTACAAGCAGGAGGCAGAGAGCACACTGGGATGTACTGAGTCTTCTCAAAGCCGGTCTTCGTGACACACCTCTTCCAACAGGCCACACCTCCTAATCCTTCCTAGATAGTTCCAGCTGGGAACCAAGTATTCAAACACATGAGCCTATGGGGGCCACTCTCAGTCAAACTGCCACAGCTGCCTTGGCCTGTGTCAAACAAACTTGCTTTTCAGCATGGAAGGAATTGCAGCACCAAAGGAAGCTCACTGCTTCCTTTCTTGGTTTTCTGACCTGATCCCATTTCTCCTTAGTTTCCCTCCTCAACTCTGGGGGAGCCCCCTGAACTTAAACTACCTGAATCCCAGACTACCTGGGAGTCATCTGAGATGCTCACCCCTTTGGAGACATTCTTCAGTTCCTGCTGGTCCTCCAACCACAGACAGTGAGTACCCTTGCTCACCAAGGCAGCCTCTTGCCTGTTTACATAATGATTTGGTTAAGATCTGTCTGTATTCCTATGGCTTCTGGTGATTGTTTTTTGTTCGTTCGTTTGTTTGGTTTGGTTTGGTTTTTTAAAATAAAAATTGGTGAGACAATGTGTGCTTGGAACATTGTTCAGATATAATGGGCACTAGGTAAATACTTGCTACTAGTGTTATGATGTTAGTGATGCTGTAACAGTCCTGGCTGATTGAATCCACTCTTCTCTCATGACTTCCCAGATGAAACAGGTGTGATGCCTAGCCCTTCTTTTCTCTATCCTAGACAACCCCAGTTTCATCAGTCACGTGTCCTCAGGTGTGATAGTTACTCCTCACTGTCAACCTCATGAGGTTTAGACTCTCCATGGAAATGAACCTCTGGATGTGTCAGTAAGGGGATTTCTACATTAGGTTGAGGTGGGAAGACTGAATGTGGGTGGCACTTGGGTTCTAGTCCCAAGACTGACTACAAGGGAGAAAGCCAGTTGAACACACCGTTCATTGTTCTCTGATTCCTGGTTAGGGGTACAATGTGACCAGTCAGCTCCTACTCCTGCAGCCATGCTTTCCTGTCTCCGTGAACTGTACCCTCAAACCATGAGCCAAACAAACTCTTCTGGAAGTTACTTTCCACATGTATTTTATCCCAGCAGCACTGTTTCCTGTCTCTTTACTTCCTGTCCTCACAATACAGACAGGATTGTAAACAGTTGGCGTTCCTCTAAAAAATGTCAGAATGCACCAAAACTTCCCCTTCAGGATGAGAGGAGAGATCACAGAGTCTTACCTCTCAAGACCAGGGTACTTAGTACACTGGCAACATCATCCATGGTCATGTGTGTCAGTTAGGGTTTCTATTGCTGTGAAGAGACGTCATGGCCAGGACAGCTCTTATAAAGGAAAACATTCAGTTGCGGTGGCTGCTTACAGTTCAGAGGTTTAGTTAATTGTCATCATGGTAGTGTGCAGGCAGATGTGGTGCTAGAGAGTTCTACGCCTGGATCCAAAGGCAACAGGAAGTGAACTGAGGCACCGGCATGCTTGAGCATATATGAGATCTCAAAGCCTGCCTTCACAGCGACGTGCTTCCTCTAACATGACCACATCTACTCCAACAAGGCCACACCTCCTAATACTGCCACTCCCTTTGGGGGACATTTTCTTTCAAACTGCCACACCATGTCAGAGAAAGCAGAAACATGTGGTTATGAGTAATAGAGGGGCAGGAGAGATCCTGGCTCCAGAGCACACTCGGGTAGGGGTAAGCTTATAAGGGGCCTTCTAGAAGGAATCGATCCTACAGAAGTATGCATGACCTATTTAGGAAGAGTTCATTATCCAGCAGAGTTTGAGATGCAAGTAGCCCCAGTAGCCTGGCAAGATGCTAGCTGGAAACAGACTGTCAGCTACATTATCAGAGAGAAGGGTGGTGTGCTAGCTAGCTTTATGTCAGCTTGACACAAGACAGAGTCATTTGGTCATGGTGTCTCATTGCAGCACTAGAAGCCCTGGCTAAGATAGGTGGGAACTGTCATGAACTCGGACACTACACATACTTTGCTGGGGACAACCAATCATAGCTGAGTAGGAAGATGGGCCTCCATGGGCGAGATCATATACAGTTTTAAAAGAAGCCAAAACCTGCATTTGAAAGTACAGAACCACCTCCACTTTAAATGACTCCTCACTTAATGTTTTCAAAATACCATGTGAGCCAATGGTGTCCAGGCTAAATGAGAGTGCTAGGACGCAGAGGCGTTCCTCCAGAGTGCCATTCTGTGACCCTATGGCCAGGAGCTAGGTCTGGACAGGGCCTGTCTTTTAGCCAGGTCTTTCTAGATAATTTTTACCGCACTTCTATAGCCAAGGCTAAATTCAGACAAGAGATCGAACAAGCTTACCTGAAGCTCTGTAGGAGTTATGTTGTTGTTGTTTTGTGTTCTATTTTTTTTTCTCTTGCTTTTTTGTTTTCTTTTGCAAGTGTAGAAAGCTGTTGGGCCTGGAAAGTAGGGTCAAGGAGGACTCTGAATAGAACCTAGCCTTCACCCTATAGGGGCAGCTTACATTCATGAACAAGCTGGAAGTCTCAGCCTTGCCTTCGCCTCTGGCTTTGTGAATGGTGTCCAGTTTTCCTTCCCAAAGTCTCTGCCACTTACTTAGCTATCTGGAAAGTAGAGAACAACAGCAACAACAACAAAATGACGTATTTTTGTGTCCCTCCTCATAGAAAACATGCAGTGAATAAAATCCTCCAAGAAAAAAATAAAACTTAAAAAGAAAAAGCAAGCATGTAATGGCAGGCAACGTTGACGCTTAGCACTCCAGTTAATAGTAGCATGGGATCCAAGGATGTAAACTGAGGCAGGGAGTAATTCCCCTGAAGTCTCTCTGCTGGGTCATTGGCACTAGCGGGGAACCTTCCCAGGGCCTTGGGAAAGTAAATTGCACCCTGCTGTCACCCCATTCCACCCACTCACATGCCAGGCACACACCTTTGAGACAGCTTGGTATTTTATGCAAATTGGAAATTTTTGTAAGAAGGGAAGCATTTCTGAAATATTATTTTATTAAAAACAATATCAATCAAATGGTCACAAGCCTCCATTTACATCCAGCGATGACACAGCATGAGCCCCCAGATGTGTTTAAAGGTCTTCACAAATTATATGATTTTTAAACCTGGCAGGCAAGTGAACTATAAACCGTTGTGCTCCTGCCCCTTGATACAACTTCCAGAAAGTGGAAGCTGCTATCAAATGCTGTGAGGAGGGCTGACCTTCACCTTTGTGAGCCTGTGTGTCAGCTCTCTCTCCATCCACCTGCCCCCCCGTGTGTGTGTGTGTGTGTGTGTGTGTGTGTGTGTGTGTGTGTGTGTGTGTGTGTTGTTATCCAGGCACTATCCACCATTTTTTTGAGACAGTGTCTCATGTTCACCTGGAACTCACATACTAGGCTAGACTGAGAGGCCCAGGAATTTGCCAGTCTCCACCTACCCAGCTCTAGAATTGCATATGAATGTCACCACACCTGTTTGCGTTTCTTTTTTCATATGGATTCTAGGAGTTGGTCCTCCTGAGTGCAAGGTAAGGCCTTTACAGAGCTGTCCTCCTTGCTCCTAGCTCCCAGCATGCAGAACTTTTTAATACATTGTTACTGAGAAATGAGCCGCCTTGGCAACACTGGGCAGGCGTTATTGCCCCTCAGGTTGGATGAGGTTGCGTGACCAGCAGCAGCACAGTGTGGGAGGCATTTGGCTTCCTCCCAGCAGCTGCCCCTCCTTTCTGAGTATTAGATATCAGTTCTGATGAATGGGTGATGAAGATGTATATACAAACAGTTCCCAGTTCTGATGAATGGGTGCCGCAGATGTGGTGCAAATACACAATGGACTTTAAAATCAGTCATAAAGAAAAATGAAGCTGTAAAACCTTCAGGGAAATAGATGAACTGGGAAGTTATACTAACCAGGTAAGTTAAACTCCCCAACACAGAGGCTACATTTTCTTCTCATGTGGGTTCTAGATTGGGGTCCAAGAACTTCTTGGAGGTACAGGGCAAGAATAGGAGGGGTGTCAGATGCCAGGGGCTTGGGGTCTGGAAGCTAAGGACAAATGGAAATTGCTGAATGGCCAAGTAGACTTTGGAACATGAGGGGAGCCTTCGTTTTCGTCCACACCCTGCTGGGAGTTTAGGTTACTAGGTCTTAAACTGCATGGTTGTTCATGGCTTCTTGGCCTTTCGGCTAAAATCAGGTGTCTGCTTCACATTTTTGTTTCAGGGCAGTTTTATTGGACACAAGTTTAGGCCAGTAGAGCCTGACCATTGGATAAAGAGGTGAAGCTTTCACAGAGCTGTGTCTGTACCGACAGGGATAATTGCTGGAGAGAAGAGGAGCATGGGATACAGCCAGGACTGAAGAGGTTGGGCCATGGCATGTTTTTCTGGGATACAGGGTACATTCACTCATTCATTCATTCATTCTTTCTTTTTTTCTCTTTTCATTCATTTTTTTAAATGAAGTTAGTTATTTGGGTGGTTAAGGAAACAGGCAGGAGAATGTTCTCTATTGAGAAAAAGAAAGGCTTAAAGTGGACAGTGCTCGGAACATGAAACTTGGTGAGGAATGTGGAGAGAATGACTGGAGTGCCAAGCACCCTTTGTAATGGCCCCAGCCTTTGGAAAAGCCTTGGGACTGCAAAGCTGCCAATGAATGCTCTCTACTATCTTCTGAGACTGGAGTTCCCCTTGTCTCCGGGCGTTAATGACACCTCTGCTCAGCCAATAGGCTGGGTCTCTGCAGAAGGAGGAGGGACTCCACCTGCCCCACCTTGAGTTCTCACCAAGGACAAGTAATGGGCAATTTAGGCCGCTACCCCCCATGTAGGCAGTCTCTAGAGCGGTGGTTCTCCACCTTCCCAGGGCTGTGATCCTTTAATACTCATGCTGTGGTGACCCCCAACCATAACATTATTTCACTGCTACTTCATAACTGTAATTTTGCTACTGTATGGATCATAATGTAAATGCCTGTGTTTTCCGATGGTCCTCTGGGAGTCATTGTTTAGGGACACAGGCACCTCCATCTGAGGTCATTTGGTGGAGGGGTCTTGAGAAAGAGATGCTGAAACGGGAGAGGTTCCCTGGGTTAGTCAGATTCTACTGCAGGGAGGGGCTTCCCCTTCCTTCCTTGGAGGGATTCTGGTGTGATGAATGTTAGGCCCTGTCTGATCATGATGCCATCTGTGCCCAGGGATGTCCCTGTGGTGTGATGGCATAACCCATCCTCTCTGGCACCTGCAGGCCAGCCTTCTCTCTGAGAGAAACTTCGGTTGCTGACCCCTCGTGCTAAGTAAGTCCCAAGAGACTGCACCAATGAAAAAGCGGATTCTTGTGAATGTCAAGTCTAGGCTAAAGCCATTGTTTATTTACTGAGTTTCCCCCTCCCTTTATTTTCTTTAAAAAGATGTATCTCTTTGAGGACATTTACTAATACAGACATTTGTTTAAAAAAAAAAGAAAAGCCCTATGCCCTTAGTACTCATCTGCAATCTTGCTTTTCTGGGATGACCAGAGTTATAAATAGGAGGAGAGCTGGGCTCTGTGCAGACAAACAC